TTAATGTTTTCCTGCCCGAAACGCTTTGCGTAATAGTGGCTTTAGGCATTGTATGTACTAGCTCTATCTATAAATCCATCAACGTTTTGTATCTCACCTTGTATGTATGTACTTTACCTGAATAAATATTTGAATTTGAATTTGAATTTTGAATTTCATCTCCTGGCATGTGATTTGGTCATCATATCTTCAACCACGTTATTGTGACTCATCGTCTGCACTAGACGATTAGCGGCATTAGCGACTCATCGTCCTAATCTATTCCTATCGCTAATCCCTACCAAATCTAATTCCTATCTGTGCATGGGGGTTGAACCACTGCTAACTACCTCAACCCTATCATCACCCAACAACATCTGCTATCAGAACTGTAACAAACTCTGTCTTCAAACAATACACAGCCCCTCTGTCCCTAAGTCCCATAACATGCTAAACATACACTCACTACACACATTCTCAAGTGCTATTTGCATGTACAAAACCTCATTCCTAGATTCTAATCCTGATTTGAAACTCCTCCTCTGTGATAGATGTAATAGAAGCCATGAGCATCACACCAGAAATAAATATCTCTGATATTCCTAGAGTCAGACTAAACCTGTGCACACACCATGCAAATAAGAGGACCCAGTTTATGGAACTCGCTCTTTAATGAATTACAAAATTGTCCAACCAATGCCTTAATCAAAAACAGAACCAAAATCTACCTAATCTCCTCCTCACAGTATCCTATCTTGTGTATCCTACCAGATTGAGGCCTTATAGTAATTATACCCCATTCTTCCTTAAGTTTATGCTCAATTACACACACTTATAAATCCAAAATTTGTATACAATATACAAAATAATTACTATTTACAAATGGCAATACATAAAACAATACTTATTGTTTTAAATAGAGAAACACACACAAAATATGTCTTCATATACTAGTAACTATAAGGAAATAATAATTACAGTCTTACCATGAGCCTTCCTTCAAGATCATTCCTGCCACCCAGAAGCTTGATGTAGATGTCTGGACCTTCGGTTACATTCTGATGCGTGCCAGCTGTTGCATTACCGTTTTCTGTTGCATTGAGCATAACAACACTTTGTTCTGCTTGGAGTGCCGCTCTTGACATTGCTTCTCTTTCCGAAGTACCTTGAAGGGTGAAGCGCACATCACGTTTCCCAGAGCCTTCAGTGCGTAGGAGTCCGGCCACCATCATGCCTGTACCCTCAGCAAACTCCAGCGTGGTGCCAAAAGCAATTGTCAAGATACCAGTTTCGTGGACATATATATCCCGTGTAACACTGTAAATACCATCATGCAGTGTTATTTCACCATTCACTTCCCCGCCAATGATATGACTGTTAATTGGATCAAAAAAATTTGGTTCACTGACTTGTCCAGCTTCTGTGACGGGGGTCTCGACATTGTTGTTACTCAAGAGGAAAGGGTGAAACAACACTAACGCGAGGTTGTATAGATCACGACGATCCAAAATACGCTCAAATATATCCTTTTCAAACTTGCTACCGAGCCAGTTGTAAGAAGCATTGATTGGTGTGCTCTGGTCAGTCATATGTGAACTAATTTCATAAGTGGAACCAGGGTTTTCAATTAAATTCCTGTAAAGTACGATATTAGAAGAGCCCACACACACAACTCCCGCCGCACCACTTCTCGATTGAATGTTGCTGTACAGCTCTTGGACAAAATTGTTTTTTATTGTATTTTTTTCTACAAGAAGGTTTTGATCAAGTCCACGTAGTGATAGTGCAAGACGAAGGACAAACCAACCGATGTTGTCTCTGAAGTGATTTCTTATAATATTCCCTACAAATGGTAAACTTGGCAGCTCTACTTTGTCCTCGTTGTATATCATGATCGTACCTTTGTAGTTTTGTCGGAACTCATTGTATTCAATAGTCAGGTTCATGTTAACAGCTGGAGATATCTTCACTGCTAGCCGATGATTTCTCTGGAACAAATTTTGACCAATTTGAACAACTCGCTTCCCACCATTTCTATGCCAGCACGACTCAATCTCTACAGCTGCTCTCCGGCCATCTGTAAATGTGTTGGTGCTGATGTTCACAAAACTATTGCGGCAAAAATTTCCTATTCGCAGACCAACATCTAAATTCCCCCTAAAATAGGAATAAGCCACACCAGTCTCTTGCTTTATTTTAGTGTCTAGTCCAGTTTCATTAAACCAAACAGCAACTCCTCGGAGTGTGTTGTCTGTAACACTGCTCCAGGTAACGTTCTGGAGACCTCCTTCATAAGTAATGTTTACACCGTCTCCAACATTCTTACTGATAGTTGAATGAGTCACATTCACGTCTCCAGCACCCATTTTCACGTTAAGACCCGAGCCAAAAAAGTTGTGTGTCAAGTTTGATTGGTGAATATGCACGAGACTTCGCATGTTTTCAATTGCAACGCCATTGCCACTGTTGTTGCCTACCCATGAATTCTCAAGCCTCAGATCAAACATTTTATCTGAAAAAACAAAATAATAGGTTAGCTAGAGAAAATAATTAATACATCATGCCACCATCATGCCTGTACCCTCGGCAAACTCCAGCATGGTGCCAAAAGCAATGGTCAAGATACCAGTTTCATGGACTATATGGACTATATATCACGTGTAACACTGTAAATACTCTAGAAATAGTAACACTATAAGTACCATGTTAATATAAAAGATATCCTTATCTCAATCACTTCTTACACACCTAATATATGGTAATATATATAGACACACAACCAGATTTCAGAGAAAAAGAGATGGTTGGGTTGACTGCATCTATGTGGACCTATAAAATGCTTCCAACAAAGGGAAGGGACTTATCAGGGGTAAGTGCCAAGCCATTATGACTATATAGCACTTGGAAGGGGTCAGGATAAGGATTTGGGATGGGACGGGGAAAAGGAACGGAGTTCCACATAAAAGGTTGTTCTGGAAACTGGAACATTCTGGAGCAGTGACAGGGAGACTTCTAACATGGATAGAAAATTTTCTGACAAAAAAATGAGGGCAGTTATCAGAGGCAATGTATCGGACTAGAAAAATGTCATGAGTGGGGTACCACAGGGGTCAGGCCTTGCATTGGTAATGTTCACTGTCTACATAAATAACCTACCAGAAGGAATACAGAATTATAAGAACATGGTTTGCTGATGATGCTAAGATACTAAGGAAGATAAGAAACTTAGATAATTGTTATGCCCTTCAAGAAGACCTGACAAGATAAGTACATGGAGCACCACTTGGCAAATGGAATTTAATGTGAATAAATGCCATGTTATGGACTGTGGAATAGAAGAAAATAGGCTCCACACAACCTACAAATTATGTGAAAAAGTTTTTAACAAATTCTGATAAAGAAAAAGATCTAGGGGTGGTTCTAGATAGAAAACTATCACCTGAGGGCCACATAAAGAACATTATGCAAGGAGCCTATGCTATGCTTTCCAAATTCAGAATTGCTTTTAAATACATGGATGGAGAAATACTAAGAAATTGTTCACAACTTTTGTGAGACCAGAGCAGGAATATGGAGCACTTGATGGTGCCCATATCTTAAGAAGCACATCAACAAACTGGAAAAGGTGCAAAGACATGCAACTAAATATCTCCCAGAACTGAAGGACAAGAGATACAAGGAGAGGTTAGAGGCATGAAATATGCCAAAACTAGAAGACAGAAGAAAAAGAGGTGATATGATAACTGCGTTCACAATAGTAATAGAAGTCGATAAAATTGATAGGGAGGAATTCCCCAGACCTGGAATTTCAGGAAGAAGAGGTCATAGATTTAAGCTAATTACACAAAGCTGCTGAAGAAATTGAAGAAAATGCACTTTCGCAAACTGAGTGGTAGACAATTGGAATAAGCTAAGTAACAAGGTGGTAGAGGCCAAAACCATCAGTATTTTCATAGTGTTATATGATAAAGAGTGCTGGGAAGACAGGACACAATGAGCCTAGCTTTCATCCTGTAACTACTGTGCACTTAGCTAATTTCATTCTCGTTCAGTATTTCCTATAAATACAGGAGTTTATGTTGAAGCAGTATGAAACAGAAAATTTAAATTCTGAATTATATGCCGAAGCCAAATCAAATTTGTATTATTTTTTTGTGATAAAGTTATTTTCCACAGACCGGACAAAATATGATGGGTTTCATTTATGACAAATTGGTTTCCACTGACCACAGACTATGTTTCTTTCCTGACAAAGCAACTCTGTCATATATATAAACCCCAAACAAGTATCATTCATATCTCCAGCATTTAACAATGTTAAATTAGAATACAATAATGTTAAATAATGTGACTTACATTTACTAGCCACCACCTCCATGAATATGAAGGAGAGTTTTTGGGACTTTGCCGTAAACTTGATCCAGATGCTGTTCCCACGTGACACCACGGAGGGCGGGAAGGTGTGGTTCCTCAGCTCAAACCTGGTCAGAATGTCACCCCACTGGTCACGATCCCTGTGTAAGACACGTCTTCCTTTTACACAAAGTTAGAAGAATACTGGGAAATTAGGATCAGTATAATCAAGCAATGGTCCACATAGTTTGCAACAAATTCTGTGGTGTTCATGGGGACTCTTAGTAACTGAATAGTTCTCTTACTCACATCACCATAACAACATTCTACAAATTCTGTGGTGCTCATGGGGACTCTTAGTAACTGAATACTTCTCTTACTCACATCACCATAACAACATTCTACAAATTCTGTGGTGCTCATGGGGACTCTTAGTAACTGAATAGTTCTCTTACTCACATCACCATAACAACATTCTACAAATTCTGTGGTGCTCATAGGGACTCTTAGTAACCGAATAGTTCTCTTACTCACATCACCATAACAACATTCTATGTAATTTATTTGGACTGTGTGTAATTACCCAAGAGTAATTACAGGACGAGAGCTACACCCGTGATGTCCCGTCTTCCCAACACTCTGTCAAATAATACTTTGAAAATATCAACGGTTTTCGCCTCCACCACTTTCTCATTTAACTTGTTCAACCATTTACCACTCCGTGAAGGAAAACTTTTTTATATTTTTGAGGCACCTTTGTTTCCTGAGCTTGAATCAATGATCTCTCGTTCTTGAGTTTGCAGTTTCTGGAACTATTCTTTGTCAATTTTGTCAATTTCCACCATTTTGTAAGTGGTGATCATATCAACTCTTTTCCTTCTACCTTCTAACATTGGTATATTTAATGCCTCTAGCCTCTCTTCATAACTCTTGTTTTCCAGTTCCAGAACTACCTCCAGATCTCTTTCTTCGTTAGAGTTCTTTAAATCCTTTCCACATAATTTGTAGTTTGTGTGGGGGTTTATTTTTTCCTATTCCACATTGCATAATACAATATTGCATTTATTCACATTGAATTCTATTTGCCACATGGTGCTTCAAGTACAAATTTTATCTAGTCAGTTTGAAAGGAATGACAATCGTCTAGGTTTCCTATGTTCCCTAGTAGCTTAGCATCACCCGCAAACATGTTCATACAATTCTCTATTCTTTCTGGTAGATCGTTTATGTAGACAATGAACATTACTGGTGCAAGAACTTAACCCTGTAATACTCCGTTAGTAACACCCCTCCAGTCTGATACACTGTCTCTGATTACCCCCTCATCTGTCTTCAGTTAGAAAAATTTTCATCCATGTCAGAAGTCTTCCTGTCACCCCTCCAGCATGTTCCAGTTTCCAGAACATCCTCTTGCGTGGGACTCTGTCAAAAGCCTTTTTAGGTCCAGATACACACAGTAAAACCCAACCACCTCTTTCCTCTAGAACCTCTGTGGCTCTATCATAAAAACTAATTAGATTTGTTACGCAGGATCTTCCGGTTCAAAAACTATACTGCCTGTTTCATGTCATTACTCTCCAGATGTTCAACCCATTTGGTTTTAACTATTGTTTCTAATGTTTTGACTACCACACTTGTTAATGATACAAGTCTATAATTTAAAGGGTCTTCTGTGCTACCATTTTTGTAGATTGGAAACGTGTTTGCCTTTTTCCATATATATGCTAAGTTTCTTGTGCACAAAGATGTTTGGAGCATCAACTGAAGAGGAATGTTCAGCTCAGTTTCACAGTCTCGCTGCACCCAAGGTGAAACTCCATCTGGCCCAACTCCTTTATTTCTTCCTAGCACCTTGAGTAATTTTATACACTTTGTCTTGAGATACCTCTATATACGCTATGGTCAAATCCACAAGGGCCGTGAGGAGGATTCGAATCCTCGTCACGGCCCTTGTGGATTTGTTCATTTGATGCATCATGCAATTGTGATTTCTGTGTGTATACTCTATGGTGTTTTCTGAAATTGGCATTGTGTGAGTGTAATTACCAAAGTGTAGTTACAGGATGCGAGCTGCGCTTGTGGTGTCCTGTCTACCCAGCACTCTGTCATACTGTATAACGCTTTGAAACTACTGATGATTTTGGCCTCCACCATCTTCACACTTAACTTGTTCCGTCTACCACTCTGTTTGCAAAAGAAAAATTTGTAATATTTTTTTGGCACCTATGTTTCCTTAGCTTGAATCTGTGTCCTCTTATCCTTCAAGATGCTGGTTTCAGGAATTCGTCTTTGTCAATTTGGTCGATTCTTGTTATTTTGTAAGTGGTGATCACGTCACCTATTTTTCTTCACAACACACTACACACACAAATCACAATAGCGTGATACATCAATTGAACAAATCCACAAGGGCCATGATAAGGGTTCGAACCTATGTCCAAGAGGATCCCAGACACACCTTAATCGAATGTGAGGTGATTTGTTCACCTCTTTTTCTTTCTTTTTTTTCCTAGTTTTGGCACATTTATCGCCTGTACGCTCTTGTTTTTCTGTTCCAGAAGCCATTTTGTGGCATGCCTTTGCACCTTTTCCAGTTAAATAATGTGCTTTTTGAGATGTGGGCAGCATACAAGTGCTATATACTGTGTTCCAATTTTGGTCTCACAAAAGTCAGGAACAGTTTCTTTATTATTTCACCATCCATGTAGTTAGAGGTGTGTTTGTGCACCCGCACGTGCACACTTTAGGGTAGATAAAGACAGGCTATTGAACACAAGGGGAACACGCACTAGGGGACACAGCTGGAAACTGAGTGCCCAAATGACCCACAGAGATATTAGAAAGAACTTTTTTAGTGTCAGAGTGGTTGACAAATGGAATGCATTAGGCAGTGATGTGGTGGAGGCTGACTCCATACACAGTTTCAAGTGTAGATATGATAGAGCCCAATAGGCTCAGGAACCTGTACACCTGTTGACTGACGGTTGAGAGGCGGGACCAAAGAGCCAGAGCTCAACCCCCGCAAGCACAATTAGACGAGTACATCCCAGATCCGTTCCCACTAACCAGTAGGATTCCTTGTAACAATATTTCTAACCTTCCACAATAATATCTAATGTGTGGTCAGACCTCATGCCAATTTTACAATTTGTAATACAGTAATGTAACTAATAATTATTCACACTTATTAAAAATTCTGTACAATTAGATAAACATAAAATAAAAATTATACATGGTACCTAAAATTATGATTAAATATACAATGGACAATTACGCAGACAATAATAGTAATTGCTTTCTTAAATGTATGATCTTGTGTGGATACATCTGCCAACGAATTACAGTTTTTCTACTCACGGATCCCACCTCACCTGATATATTGTGAGCTGACCCACCTCACCTGATATATTGTGAGCTGACCCACCTCACCTGATACATTGTGAGCTGACCCACCTCACCTGATACATTGTGAGCTGACCCACCTCAACTTGTACATTGTGAGCTGACCCACCTCACCTGATACATTGTGAGCTGACCCACCTCAACTTGTACATTGTGAGCTGACCCACCTCACCTGATACATTGTGAGCTGACCCACCTCAACTTGTACATTGTGAGCTGACCCACCTCAACTTGTACATTGTGAGCTGACCCACCTCACCTGATACATTGTGAGCTGACCCACCTCAACTTGTACATTGTGAGCTGACCCACCTCACCTGATACATTGTGAGCTGACCCACCTCAACTTGTACATTGTGAGCTGACCCACCTCTGACCCACTCAACTGTACATTGTGAGCTGACCCACCTCACCTGGTACATTGTGAGCTGACCCACCTCACCTGATATATTGTGAGCTGACCCACCTCAACTTGTACATTGTGAGCTGACCCACCTCAGCTGACCCACCTCAACTTGTACATTGTGAGCTGACCCACCTCACCTGATATATTGTGAGCTGACCCACCTCAACTTGTACATTGTGAGCTGACCCACCTCACCTGATACATTGTGACCCAAGCTGACCCACCTCACCTGATATATTGTGAGCTGACCCACCTCAACTTGTACCCACCTCAACTTGTACATTGTGAGCTGACCCACCTCAACTTGTACATTGTGAGCTGACCCACCTCACCTGGTACATTGTGAGCTGACCCACCTCAACTTGTACATTGTGAGCTGACCCACCTCAACTTGTACATTGTGAGCTGACCCACCTCAACTTGTACATTGTGAGCTGACCCACCTCACCTGGTACATTGTGAGCTGACCCACCTCAACTTGTACATTGTGAGCTGACCCACCTCAACTTGTACATTGTGAGCTGGTACATTGTGAGCTGACCCACCTCAACTTGTACATTGTGAGCTGACCCACCTCAACTTGTACATTGTGAGCTGACCCACCTCAACTTGTACATTGTGAGCTGACCCACCTCACCTGGTACATTGTGAGCTGACCCACCTCACCTGGTACACACGTGTAAGCAATAATGAGACAATTACACACCTGACTTCCACAGTAGCAGCACCGTCGCTCTCTGCCTGCATGTAGGAGAAGTGAACGGTGAATACGAAGTTGGTTTTCCTCGTGTAGAACGACTGGGGGAATAATATAATTACAAGTCAATTTACTGCATCCTTTATATTTCAATAGGCCTAGCTAGAATTGCAACACGTCTTTTTGAGGCTAACAAACGACAATATCTTCAACCTAATGGGCCACACAGTCAGGAAAATGAAACCTCAACTTTGGCAAATTCCAGGTCGCCATTGCCTAACTACTGACCTTCCCCGGGGTTGCAACCCACAAAAGTTTCCCAAATTCCTGGTAGTGTATCTGTTTACTGCTGAGTGAGCACACACATCAGGTGAAAGGAAATATGTCTCAACGTTTCAATCCTACCGCAGAAACTTTACCTGGGACCTTTGACCCGACTGCACTGACTACATGATAAAAACAAGCAGTCCACTATCATATAGTGATGTGGACTCACCCTAACACAGGAGTCCACTTTATTACAGTGATGTAGACTCACCCTAACACAGGAGTCTACTTTAATAATGATGTAGACTCACCCTAACACAGGAGTCTAATACAGTGATGTAGGCTCACCCCTAACACAGGAGTCTAATACAGTGATGTAGACTCACCCTAACACAGGAGTCCTCTTTAACAATGATGTAGATTCACTCTAACACAGGAGTCTAATACAGTGATGTAGGTTCACCACTAACACAGGAGTCTAATACAGTGATGTAGACTCACCCTAACACAGGAGTCCTCTTTAACAATGATGTAGATTCACTCTAACACAGGAGTCTAATACAGTGATGTAGACTCACCCTAACACAGGAGTCCTCTTTAACAATGATGTAGATTCACTCTAACACAGGAGTCTAATACAGTGATGTAGACTCACACTAACACAGGAGTCTAATACAATGACGTAGACTCACCCTAACACAGGAAAGGTCATTGAAGGAATATCTGTCCTGGGTGGCCACAGTGACAACAGGGTAAGCCTGGCTCGGGTTGGAGGCTCCGGCACAGAAGTCTTGGAAGGCGTCCGACGCCGAACGATCGGGTTCCCGGTGGTGGAAGTTGTACTTGACGCCATCAGCATCGTTGTTCTTCACTACTGTTGACTTGTCTATCAGGACGGACCCAGTTGACGTATTGACGTACACCCCGTAACCTGAGGAAGTATCAGCCATGATATTTATTTATTTTTGTTTATAATTGTTGTTTATAATTAGATTGTTGTTTATAATTAGATTCCTTAGGTTATCTGAGAAAGAAGCTATGTTAGTATTGGGAAATCTATAGATGGCTCCAATAGTCAAGGAGGATTTAAGGGATTTAATTGTAAACTGAGCAAAAGTATATTCACAGTAGTCATCTCTATCACTAATGACACTAATGACAAATACTACAAAGATAAATTTTCCCAAACAAAGGGCAACAGTAAGAAAACATGGAACACAATTTCACAAATATTGGGATCAAAGAAGAGTTTAAATAACAAACCAATACTCTTGTCAAATAACGATGGTCAGCTTACAGCCTCTGATACTGCTACTGAGTTCAATAGGTTCTTCTCTTCCATTGGGTCATCCCTTGCAAATGATATTCCATCTTCCAGTACTGATGTTCAGGACTATCTTACTGGTAACTATCCACAGTCTCTGTACCTAAAGCCTACAAATTCCACTGATGTTAATGAGAGAATCCTTTCCCTTAAAACCAAGTCTAGTGCCCTTGAGAAGATACCAACTTTAATTTACGAAAAAGCCTCCAGATTTTTAGCCCCTGCTATTGCATTGCTCTTCAACAAGTCACTTGAACTCCAAACCTTTCCAGATATTCTAAAAAAAGCGAGAGTAACTCCTGTCCACAAATGTGGTGATCTCACTGATGTTAACAACTACAGACCTATATCAATTCTGCCTAACTTGTCAAAAATATTTTAAAAACTAATCTACAAGCAGCTTTACTCTTATCTAGCCAAACACAATATACTTACCTCTTGTCAATATGGCTTCAGACCCAAAAAAGCACTAATGATGCACTTATTAGTATGATTAATTTGATACATGCAGCACTTGATAAAAATGAGTTCCCTGTTGGGTTATTTGTGGACCTGCATAAGGCATTTGACACTGTCAACCACCAAAACCTTCATTATTTATTTATTTATTTATTTATTTATGCATATACAAGAATGTACATAAGGAATGTGAGGATACAATTATGATAATTACAGTCTTGTAAAGCCACTAGCACGCGCAGCGTTTCGGGCAGGTCCTTAATCTAAGAAAATTTTAAGGAGGTAAATACTTGCAAAATTTATAGACAAAAAAATGATAACAGATTACATGGAATGAAAAAAAAAAAAGATGAGAGAAAATTATAGGTAGAGTATATTAAAGCACATAGGTAGCTATGATTGATTGCAATGACAGCTTAAAATGGTAGTTGACAACAAATTGGTAGGCACAATACAGCAGAAACAATATAAGATTGATTGCAATGACAGCTTGAATGGTAGTTGACAAAAATTGGTAGTCACAATACAGCATATGGCTAGCACATAAAAGAAGACAGCAATGAACACAATGATAAGGTTGTTTGATATTACATAAAAATTAGGAGATTGGGTACCACTAGGTACAGAGCAAATTTAAAGCTCAGTGTAGGAAACTAAATAGATGAAGTTAGGTACTTTTTGGTTTTGCTTTTAAATAAGGCAAAAGTTTTACAGTTTTTCAATTCACTAGGGAGTGAGTTCCATAGACTAGGTCCCTTAATTTGCATAGAGTGTTTACACAGATTAAGTTTGACCCTGGGGATATCAAAGAGATATTTATTTCTGGTGTGGTGATAATGGGTCCTATTACATCTGTCCAGGGAGAGTTTCAGAGCATGGTTTGCATTTAAGAACAGGGTTTTGTAAATGTAGTTGACACAAGAGAATGTGTGGAGGGAGTTAATATTTAGCAAGTTTAGAGATTTAAACAAGGGAGCTGAGTGTTGTCTGAAAGCAGAGTTAGTTATTATTCTGATAGCAGATTTTTGCTGTGTGATGATGGGCTTAAGGTGGTTTGCAGTGGTAGACCCCCATGCACAGATACCATAATTAAGATAGGGGTAGATTAGTGCATAATATAGTGAGAGGAGAGCAGAGTTAGGAACATAATATCTGATTTTGGAGAGTATACCAACTGTCTTAGAGACTTTCTTAGTTATGTTTTGAATGTGGGTGCTGAAGTTGAGTCTCTTGTCTAGGAATAGGCCAAGAAACTTGCCATCATTTTTATTACTGATGTTAATGTTGTCTATCTGTAGCTGAATTGCATTTGATGATTTGCTTCCAAATAAGATGTAGTAAGTCTTTTCGATGTTTAATGTTAGTTTGTTCGTTGACATCCATAAGTGGACTTTTTTTAATTCATTATTCACAACATTATTTAGTGTATGTGGGTTGAGGTTTGAGTAGATAAGGGTAGTATCGTCAGCAAACAATATAGGTTTGAGAATATTAGAGACATTAGGCAGATCGTTTATATATATAAGAAATAGAAGAGGTCCTAAGATGCTGCCCTGTGGCACTCCAACGGTAATTGGTAGAGTGGAAGAAGTTGTATCATTGATGGTTACATATTGGTGTCTGTCACTAAGATAGGATCGGATGTAGTCAAGGGCAAGGCCTCGGATTCCATAATGCTGGAGTTTAAGTAAGAGGTAGTTGTGATTAACAGTATCAAAGGCTTTTCTTAGGTCAATGAAGAGTCCAATCGGAAACTCATTTTTGTCAAGGGCTGAGTAGATAATGTCAAGGAGACTAATGATTGCATCATTGGTACTCTTTTGGGACCGGAAGAGTATGTCGAATTTTACGAGGTAGGAATAGAGCTGTTTGTAAATAATTTTTTTCAAATATTTTTGATAGAATGGGTAGATTTGATATTGGTCTATAATTGTTTATGTCCGCCGGATTGCCTCCTTTATGGACTGGCGTTACTCTTGCTTTTTTGAGGATATCAGGGAAGGTGTGACACTCTATAGATTTGTTGAACAGTAGTGCTATGGGTGGGGCAAGGGCATGGGAGGCTTCTTAAATTACAATTCTAAAATTACAATAAATTAAATACAATAAATAAATTCTATCTTCTTAAATTACATCATTATGGAGTCAGAGGACACTCCCTGCAATACCTCAAATCCTACCTTACTGACAGGCTCCAGTATGTTTCTGTGAATAATTCAATTTCTCCCACCCTATCCATCAACATCGGTGTTCCTCAGGGCAGCATACTTGGCCCTCTCCTCATTCTCATCTACATTAATGACCTTCCAAATGCCTCCCAACACCTCAAACCAATTCTATTTGCTGACGACACAACCTTCATTTATTCCAGTCCTGACCCCTTTGCTCTTAATGTCACAGTGAATACTGAGCTAAATAAAGTCCATCTTTGGCTAACTGCCAACAAACTCACCCTTAACATTGACAAAACTTTCTATATTTTGTTTGGCCATAAATCCTTAAATCAAATAAATCTCAGGATAAATAATACCCAAATTTGTAACAAAATAGATGGCAAATTCCTTGGCGTTCTCATTGACCACAAACTCAATTTCCAGGGACACATTGTAAATATATAAAAAAAAAGTTTCAAAAACTGTTGGCATTCTTTCTAAGATCAGATATTATATGTACCTCGCCCTGCCCTGGTGACGCTCTATTACTCCCTCATCTATCCTAATCTCAACTATGGTATTTGTGCTTGGGGTTCTACTACCCAAAATCATTTATGTCCTCTAATTACTCAACACAAAGCTGCTATTAGGACAATATCCAACTCTGGCCCCAGACATTACTCGGTACCCCTTCTCAAATCTCTGAATATGTTAGATATTAAATCACTGCACATCCTCTCATGTGTATTACATATATATATAAAATGCTGAACTGTAATGCCAATCCTGACCTTAAAAGCTTCATTGAAGGTTGTAACAGAACCCATGAGCACCACACCAGAAACAAATACCTTTTTGATATTCCAAGAGTAGGACTTAATCAAACTAGAAATGCTCTACAAATCAAGGGACCCAGAATGTGGAATGACCTTCCCAATCATGTTAAAGACTGTACCTCTCTCAACCAGTTTAAGATAAAAACGAAGCACTACCTAATTAACTCCCTGTAACCTACCTTACCCCTATAATGTCAACCCATGTCTGCTATTTTTAAACAATGCTGGTTGTCGACCAAATTATATTTTTGCTGTTTTTCTGCCATGTTCCCCCCTTTTTTTATTTTTATATTTTATCAACACATTTTGTACTTTAATCTCAATTAGTATTAAGTTTTAGTCTTTAGTGTTTTTCTTGCCCGAAACGCTTTGCGTAATAGTGGCTTTAGGCATTGTATGTACTAGCTCTATCTATAAATCCATCAATATCTGTATCACCCCTTGTATGTATGTACTTTACCTAAATAAACATTTGAAATTTGAATTTGAAATTTTGATGGTTAGTAACAGGTACACTATGGTGGTTCTGGGTGAAGCTGTACCCCCAATGTATTAATATGCTCAGTAACAGGTACACTATGGTGGCTCTGGGTGAAGGTGTAATTATGAGTAGTTCTGTCTTAAGTGTTGAAATCACAAGATGAAACATTTTCTTTTCTAAATGAGTTGCATCTTTCTGGACAGATCATCTTGGAGAATACTATTCAGGATGCAATTGTTCCTATCTCTTTTATTGCCGGGGAAAGAGGTCTCTCTCTCGGGTTACCTAGACTCACCTACGCTAAGGTCAGGCTTCATACTAGCAATGGGCGAGCCCCTTGAGAACATCTCAAGCGGGAGGTGCCCAACCACTTAGGATGGATGGTAGAGCGACGGTTTCGCTTCATACAGGTCGGCGTTCAATCCCCCGACCATTCAAGTGGTTGGGCACCATTCCTTCTCCACCCCTGTCACATCCTAAATTTTTATCCCTTCGAAGTGCGTCTGACTCTCAGGTGTTAGGGAAGTGATAGCTTGTTATTGTTAACACCGGAGATTTGGTAGTTTATAGTGCACACCATACTCATCCTGTGTGTGGTAATTTATAGTGCACACCATACTCATCCTGTGTGTGGTAGTTTATAGTGCACACCATACTCATCCTGTGTGTGGTAGTTTATTGTGCACCCCATACTCATCCTGTGTGTGGTAGTTTATGGTGCACCCCATACTCATCCTGTGTGTGGTAGTTTACGGTGCACACCATACTCATCCTGTGAGTGGTAGTTTACTGTGCACACCATACTCATTGTGAGAGTGGTAGTTTATAGTACACCCCATACTCATACTGTGAGTGGTAGTTTATTGTGCACCCCATACTCATCCTGTGTGTGGTAGTTTATTGTGCACACCATACTCATCCTGTGTGTGGTAGTTTATAGTGCACATCATGCTCATCCTGTGTGTGGTAGTTTATTGTGCACCCCATACTCATCCTGTGTGTGGTAGTTTATTGTGCACACCATACTCATCCTGTGAGTGGTAGTTCATGTGCACCCCATACTCATCCTGTGAGTGTGGTAGTTTACTGTGCACCCCATACTCATCCTGTGAGTGGTAGTTTATAGTGCACCCCATACTCATCCTGTGTGTGGTAGCACATTGTGCACCCTATACTCAGTACGGGGTGCACAAGAACTTGGAATCTGCTTTATAAAAATCGAACACACAATGAACATGGAATCTTCCTTATAATTATAATGACAGTCAGTGCGTCATTATCAAGAGACGGCGCCAAGCCTGGGAGACGGGGAAGCCGCCATGACCGCTGTAAAGAACCTTCTACACAGTTGACCTTCCGGAAGGGCACCTCTTTACTGCTACATGGATTGTTATTATTTTGAGATTTGTTCTGTTGAAAGTGCCCCAATATTTATTTAGCATTAGGTATCAAGGAAACGTGCCCAAACCTCTCGCTCTGCCAGGGCATCGAACCCGAGTTCCCTGGTTGTAAGGCGACTTCGCAAACCTCTACTGTCTGAAAATCAGAGTTAGATAATATAAACACAGTTCAATGTTGAAGACTTACCGCTGTTTCCGGTGATAGTAGAAGCTGAGAGATGGACGAAGGTGCCAGGTAAGGTGAAGTTGAGGCCACTGGAGGCGCTGGAGGTGACGGTAAGGTTAGTGATCCTGGGCGGCACTTGGCGGGTCATCAGGGCGGACACGACCTCCCGCCGGGGTCCCATGCCAGCGAACTCCACGTCCACGTAACTCAATACTGACTTCGACACCTGCAACGCTCACCACTTTACTTTCCAACTTCACCAACTACACTCTATACTCAACATTGAATACAGCTTTTTGGATTATAATAATACATTAACATTGATGTATCAATATTAATGTATGATTCAATAACGGTAATGAAGTATTAACACTACAGTATGTCATTATGTATTATGTATCTTTAACGTATCATTAACATTAGTGTTTCATTTGGTAACACAAACGCTCGTCATTCACCCTCGAGAGATTGAGAAACCTGTATATTACACAGGTGATGGACAACGATCACCTCTGGATAGTGGTTCTCGGAGTTGTTCTACTCCCCAAGCCCGAGGCCAGGCTGGACTTGTGAGAGTTTGGTCCACCAGGCTGTTGCTGGGAGCGGCCCGCAGGCCAGGCTTGACTTGTGAGAGTTTGGTCCACCAGGCTGTTGCTGGGAGCGGCCCGCAGGCCAGGCTTGACTTGTGAGAGTTTGGTCCACCAGGCTGTTGCTGGGAGCGGCCCGCAGGCCCACATATCCACCACAGCCCGGTTGGTTCAGCACTCCTCGGAGAAAACTATCCAGTTTTCTCTTGAAGATGTCCGCGGTTGTTCCGGCAATATTTCTTATAGTCGCTGGGAGGACGTTGAACAACCGCGGACCTGTGATGTTTATACAGTGTTCTCTGATTGTGCCTCTGGCACCTTTGCTCTTCACTGGTTCTATTCTGCATTTTCTTCCATATCGTTCACTCCAGTACGTTGTTATTTTACTGTGTAGATTAGGGTCCTGTCCCTCCATTATCTTCCACGTGTATATTATTTGGTATCTCTCTAGCCACCTTTCTAGTGAGTACATTTGGAAAGCTTTGAGACGATCCCAATAATTTAGGTGTTTTATCTCGTCTATGCGTGCCGTATATGTTCTCTGTATTCCCTCTATTTCAGCAATCTCTCCTGCTCTGAAGGGGGAAGTGAGTACTGAGCAGTACTCAAGACGGGACAACACAATTAAGTGACTTGAAGAGTACAACCATTGTGATGGGATCCCTGGATTAGAAAGTGATGAAAACGATAACAAATGTCACGTACACTGAGAGGGGTAAGGTTTACCTTACTACACTGAGAGGGGTAAGCTTCACCTTACTACACTGAGAGGGGTAAGCTTCACCTTACTACACTGAGAGGGGTAAGCTTCACCTTACTACACTGAGAGGGGTAAGCTTCACCTTACTACACTGAGAGGGGTAAGTTTACCTTACTACACTAAGAGGGGTTAGGTTTACCTTACTACACTGAGAGGGATAAGTTTACCTTACTACACTGAGAGGGGTAAGTTTACCTTACTACACTGAGAGGGGTAAGGTTTACCTTCTGGTAGAGCGTGTTTTCCTGGAAGAGTTGACCCTCGTACTCAGCGTCTTGGAAAGTGATGCCTCGCCAGTGGTTGGTGCCTCGCCAGAGGGCGTGGTACCCGTCGCAGTCCACGCCCAGGTCTGGGTGCATGTCTGAAACAGTAACAACTACTCTAACACAAGCATTTGCTTTGCCCAAAAGTACATACATACATACACATACATACATGCATGCATGCATGCATGCATACATACATACATACATACATACATACATACATACATACATACAAGGAGAATGTTGGAGTCATTTGGTAGGCAGAAATAATGAACATAAGATAAATTATTCGTAGGCTTTCTGTATACATTAAACTGTAGTGAAAAATCGTCCCTATATGAATAAATATATCTAAAAATGGCAAACATTTGTCAAGTCTCTATAGTTAATTTTATAGAGGTGACTTGATCAGTACGTTTAGCTGCAAATTTCGTCTGTGTGCAGGCGATGAGTCACAATAACGTGGCTGAAGTAAGTTGACCAGACCACACACTAGAAGGTGAAGGGACGACGACGTTTCGGTCCGTCCTGGACCATTCTCAAATCGATCGACTTGAGAATGGTCCAGGACGGACCGAAACGTCGTCGTCCCTTCAACTTCTAGTGTGTGGTCTGGTCAATTTCGTCTGTGTTTACATCTGTAGGCCATATACATAAAATATCCTCAACATATTTAAACCATGGAATGATTCCAGGGGTAATTTTTAAAACAAATTTCTTTTCGAAAAATTCCATGTACAAGTTTGAAAGCAATGGCGATAAAGGATTCCTCATTGCCATTCCAAAAGTCTGTAAATAATACTCATTATTAAAAGTAAATTTACATTCATTTAACAATAATGAGTCAGACCACAAAGGATTAAGACAGGAATTTCCTTAAGTACCTTCGTATTTAATAATACATCTTCAGAAGGAAGGATTTACAGTTCAGTGGGTGTGGATATAAAGGCAGGAAAGAGGTGAAGGAGGTACAATGTCTGTTGAGATAAGGAGATATTAATAAGGTATTAGTGAGACAAATGTGTATCAATTATCTTACTCAAATCGCCCTTTAACTGATCAATCAAAAATGGATCTAAATTATACAAACCGCTGCTAATGTTCAAATTACATGATTTTGTAATCTGTATTAAAGCAGATTCAATTATGTTCCTATTGAAAATATTTTACAATTCGTTATTGAAGAAGCCATCTTCCAATCAATTTGGCGAGAACTTGCTTACAGATGAACAAAGCATTAGACAATTGGCCGTGTCTTACAGAGTATTTATGTTGCGAAATTCTAAATTTCAAATCTTTGAGAATTTTGCCCAACATAGAACCTATTACAGCCTTTACGAGGTATTTTATATATGACACAATTATCACTACAAGGAATATTTCTAACTAATTGTTTTCCATCAGTATTTTCATAATTAAACAATACATGTATATCAAAATGCTTCAAAGCTTTCACAATATTTTCAAACCCAGAAAAATATGGTTAACATAACACATTCTTTGGGCGAATTTTCTCACTGGATATATTATTATAATATGTACGACGTGCTTTGCTACGGCAAGCTTCCAACACACTCGGTGGATAGCAAAGCTTATTTATTTATTTATTTATTTATTTATTTATTTATATACAAGAAGGTACATTGAGTTAGAGAGAATACAAAGGATTAAGACAGGAATTTCCTTAAGTACCTTCGTATTTAATAATACATCTTCAGAAGGAAGGATTTACAGTTCAGTGGGTGCGGATATAAAGGCAGGAAAAGGAAAGGTATTTACAGGAAAGGAAAAGGCAGGTATTTACACAGGAGGCAGGTATTAACACAGGAAAAGGCAGGAAAGGCAGGTATTTACAATCTTGTAAAGCCACTAGTACGCGCAGCGTTTCGGGCAGGTCCTTAATCTAACAGATAATTTTAAGTAGGTAAATTCTAGCAGAATTAATAAAGCGATAACAGGTATATTGCAAGGAAAAAAATGAGATGCGAGAGATTAGTAAGTATATTATATACATTGGTATATTAAAGCTCTGATTACCAATCAGAATCAATATAACGATTACCAATAGAATCAATATTCTTAAACTATTCATCTAAGAATTCTGGACTAACAACTTGAAGAGGTCTTAGATACATACAGGAAAAAATAGACTTTCACATTGTATCTATGCTCTGAGAAATAATGAACATTAGATAAATGGAGATAAGAAATAATGAACACAAGATATTTCTCAGGGCATAGATACAATGTGAAAGCCAGCGATTGCCCTAAACGCTGTGCGTATTAGTGGCTTTAGGTATTGTATCTACTAGTTCTATAAAACCAACATTATGTTTGTAACTCATCTTCTGTGCATGTACTTTTACCTGAATATCATTTTGAATTTGAATTTTGAATTTTTTTGAATATTGTCCTCTATCTAAGAGCTCTTCTGGTTCTTAGTCCATAATTCTTAGATGAAGAGTTTAAGAGTATTGATTCTATTGGTCTCTTGTTATCCGCTGAGTGAATTGTGGATGGTTGTGTTATCTCTAGCTCCCCTCCCCCCCATCACCACACTATCAGCTTCCCACTGTGTGGTAATGGAGGGTGGGGCTCTCTTGATGGTTGCCTCATACTTCTCTGTGTTGTGCTCTATCTCCTGACACCCATTGGTGGGTGGGTGGGTGTGTGTGTGTGTGTGTGTGTGTGTGTGTGTGTGTGTGTGTGTGTGTGTGTGTGTGTGTGTGTGTGTGTGTGTGTGTGTGTGTGTGTGTGTGCTCACCTAGTTGTGTTTGCGGGGGTTGAGCTCTGGCTCTTTGGTCCCGCCTCTCAACCGTCAATCAACAGGTGTACAGATTCCTGAGCCTATTGGGCTCTATCATATCTACACTTGAAACTGTGTATGGAGTCAGCCTCCACCACATTACTGCCTAATGTATTCCATTTGTCAACCACTCTGACACTAAAAAAGTTCTTTCTAATATCTCTGTGGCTCATTTGGGCGCTCAGTTTCCACCTGTGTCCCTTGTGCGTGTGCCCCTTGTGTTAAATAGACTGTCTTTATCTACCCTGTCGATTCCCTTGAGAATCTTGAATGTGGTGATCATGTTCCCCCTAACTCTTCTGTCTTCCAACGAAGTGAGGTTTAATTCCTCATAGCTCTCTCATTATTCCTCATTAGTCTCTCCTCATAGCTCATACCTCTCAGCTCGGGTACTAGTCTGGTGGCAAACCTTTGAACCTTTTCCAGTTTAGTCTTATGCTTGATTAGATATGGACTCCGTGCAGGAGCCGCATACTCCAGGATTGGTCTGACATATGTGGTATATAATGTTCTGAAAGATTCCTAACACAAGTTTCTAAAGGCCGTTCTTATGTTAGCCAACCTGGCATATGCCGCTGATGTTATCCTCTTGATACGAGCTTCAGGGGACAGGTCTGGCGTGATATCAACCCCCAGGTCTTTCTCTCTCTGACTCTTGAAGTATTTCATCTCCCAAATGATACCTTGTATCTGGTCTCCTGCTTCCTACCCCTATCTTCATTACATTACATTTGCTTGGGTTAAACTCTAACAGCCATTTGTTCGACCATTCCTGCAGCATGTCCAGGTCTTTTTGAAACCTCAAGCTGTCCTCCTCTGTCTTAATCCATCTCATAATTTTGGCGTCGTCAGTAAACATTGAGAGGAATGAGTCTAAACCTTATGGGAGATAATTTACGTATATCAGAAACAGGATAGGTCCGAGTATAGAGCCCTGTGGGACTCCACTGGTGACTTCACGCCAATCTGAGGTCTCACCCCTCACTGGAACTCTCTGCTTCCTATTGCTTAGGTACTCTCTTATCCACTGGAGCACCCTACCAGTTACTCCTGCCTGTTTCTCCAGCTTATGCATCAGCCTTTTATGGGGTACTGTGTCAAAGGCTTTCCGACATTCCAAAAAAATGCAGTCCGCCCATCCTTCTCTTTCTTGCCTAATCTTTGTCACCTGATCGTAGAATTCTATTATGTCGGAAAATCCGACACCATTTAATATATCATACAGACAGATAATAGCTGTGTTGTATAAACAAGTTAACCCATAGAAAACGTAACTTGTAGTGGAATTACCGTCTAAAGAAAACGGGATATCATCACCACATACCATTATAAATTCACCAGCTATTCTGCTGGGAATTATTCTTAAATACATTAGTCTTTGGACTTTACCATCATAAAACATCTCATATAAATTAACTTGATTATCAGTATTAAAGTAGAGTAAATGTGACCCTTCTATCACTTATTGACATCTGGACAATGTAGGCCAGGCGTCAGTGAGGAAGGAGGGGCAGCCATTGTTGTGTCACCTCCGAGACGCGTGGAGCAAATTCGGCTCCTATCATATCTGGACAATGTCGGCCAGTAGCGTCAGTAGTATGGAGTGTTAGACATTATTGTTTGTACTAGACCAGAGGCTCACGGGAGCAAATACGGCTCCTGTTAATTTTACTTGGACGTAGTGTTATGGAAACCAAAGGTGTACCATCTTCAACACGCTGTCAACAAATTCAAGTTAAGTGTTCTTTCCAAAACCCATGTATCTTTCATTTATGGCCATTAATGTCATTATATAGGGTGACCCGGTTAGAGCACGTGGTAGCCTCAAACTAAAGGTAATTAAGCCAGGTCTTCATTGTTCCATGTATAGTGTTTTCTCTGATATACCTGTCATATATAGGTATCTGGCTTTACAGCTAGCGCCCTTTTAACAGGTCAAGACGAGGAAGCATATGCTTTGTGCATCAGTTACCAGGGTGATGGAAGCTACCTCAAATAGGGAAAATGTGGTGTCTACATCCTGGTTATGCCTGCTGTACAAATAAGATAAGGAACCTCTTCAATGTATGTAGTCTATTCTGTAGTTTGATTGGCTGCATATATATTCAATTAATATAACCCCCCCCCCTAATGTGTAGAGGATCGATTTGTGAGATTATGAGAATATTGCAGAAATACAGTCCACTTATCATTATACAAATTGCTATCGAAGTATATAAATTAACGTAAATATAAATTCATATAAATTAAATAAATATAAATCTCACAGGTCGGTTCCCACATATTAAGCCTGTAAGACAAGATTTACCCTCCCTGAACCCATGTTGATGGGTTGTCACGAAGTCTCTTCTCTCCAGATGTGTTACTAGGTTTTTTCTCACAATCTTCTCCATCACCTTGCATGGTATACAAGTTAAGGACACTGGCCTGTAGTTCAGTGCATCTTGTCTGTCACCCTTTTTGTATATTGGGACCACATTCGCCGTCTTCCATATTTCTGGTAGGTCTCCCGTTTCCAGTGACCTACTATACACTATGGAGAGTGGCAAGCAAAGTGCTCCTGCACACTCTTTCAATACCCATGGTGAGATTCCGTCCGGCCCAACAGCTTTTCTCACGTCCAGCTCCAATAGGTGCTTCTTGACCTCATCTCTTGTAATTTCGAACCTTTCCAAGGTCACCTGGTTTGCTGCCACCTCTCCTAGCGCCGCGACATCTCCCTGTTCTCTTGTAAAGACCTCCTGGAACCTTTTGTTGAGTTCTTCACACACCTCTTTGTCATTCTCTGTGTACCTGTCCTCGCCCACCCTAAGTTTCATCACCTGTTCCTTCACTGTTGTCTTCCTCCTGATGTGACTGTGTAGTAGCTTTGGTTCGGTCTTGGCTTTATTAGCTATATCATTTTCATACCTTCTCTCAGCTGCTCTTCTCACACTAACATACTCGTTCCTGGTTCTCTGGTATCTCTCTCTACTTTCTGGTGTTCTGTTATTACGGAAGTTCCTCCATGCCCTTTTGTTCAGCTCCTTTGCTTTCATACATTCCTTATTAAACCACGGATTCTTCTTTTGCTTCTCTGTTTTTTCCTGTCGGGCTGGGACAAATCTGTTTACTGCCTCCTGACACTTTTGGGTAACATAGTCCATCATGTCTTGTACGGACTTGGTTCTGAGTTCTGTGTCCCAAGGTATATCCCTTAGGAATTTATTCATCTCCTCATAGTTTCCCTTTCGGTACACCAGCACTTTGTTTCCCAGTTCGTTTCTAGGGAGATAATTACTAACTCTACTCAAAGCTCAATACACAATGATTACTCATTCCCAAGGGAGCTTCCAACTTAACTTCCCTTATATCCGACTCATTTAGGGTAAATATCAGATCAAGCAAGGCTGGTTCATCCCCTCCTCTCATTCTTGTCGAGCCCTTGATGTGCTGGCTTAGAAAGTTTCTTGTTGCCACATCCAGCAGCTTAGCTCTCCATGTGTCTGGGCCTCCATGCGGGTCTCTGTTCCCCCAATCTATCTTCCCGTGGTTGAAGTCTCCCATGATTAGTAGTCTGGATCCGTTCCTGCTAGTGACAGAAGCTGCTCTCTATTATACTAATGGTGGCCATGTTGTTTCTATCATATTCCTGTCTGGGTCTTCTGTCATTTGGTGGTGAGGTATATATGCTACGACTAAGTTTAGTCCTCCAATTGCTATGGTACCTGTTATGTAGTCACTGAAACCTTCACAGCCCTGAATAACAATCTCCTCAAAACTCCAGCAATTTCTTACTAGCAGAGCTACACCACCACCACCTCTTCCTTCCCTCTCTTTCCTCAGAACACTGTAATCCTGTGAAAACACTGCATTTGTTATGGTTTTCGTTAGCTTTGTTTCTGTGAGTGCTATTATGTCTGGGTTTTCTTCTAGTACCCATTCTCCAAGTTCGTTTTTTTTTTTATTTGTAATCCCATCTATGTTAGTGTACATTGCTTTGAGAATCACTTCTTCTATTCCTTCTCGTGTCCCTTTCTTGGTGAGCATTTTGCTGACGGGGGAAGCTGTTCCAAAGGAGTGAGGATTTGTGAGGTGGTTAACAGGGTCTCACAAGATACTGGTGTGAGGGGTGGGGTCAAGGCAAGGAGGGGGGGGACACGGAGAGTATGGGATGGAATGAAGGGGGAAGGGGGGAGGGGGGGACATGGTGGGATTGGGGGAGGGGTGTATGTGTGCTCACCTAGTTGTGCTTGCGGGGGTTGAGCTCTGGCTCTTTGGTCCCGCCTCTCAACTGTCAATCAACTGGTGTACAGATTCCTGAGCCTACTGGGCTCTATCATATCTACACTTCAAACTGTGTATGGAGTCAGCCTCCACCACATCACTGCCTAATGCATTCCATTTGTCAACCACTCTGACACTAAAAAAGTTCTTTCTATATCTCTGTGGCTCATTTGGGCACTCAATTTCTACCTGTGTCCCCTAGTGCGTGTGCCCCTTGTGTTAAATAGTCTCTCTTTATCTACCCTATCAATTCCTCTGAGAATCTTGTATGTGGTGATCATGTCCCCTTTAACTCTTCTGTCTCCCAGTGACGTGAGCTTTAATTCCCGTAGTCTCTCCTTGTAGCTCATACCTCTCAGCCCGGGTACTAGTCTGGTGGCAAACCTTTGAACCTTTTCCAGTTTAGTCTTATGCTTAACTAGATATGGACTCCATGCTGGAGCCGCATACTCCAGGATTGGTCTGACATATGTTGTATATAATGTTCTGAAAGATTCCTTACACAAGTTTCTAATGGCCGTTCCTATGTTAGCCAACCTGGCATATACCGCTGATGTTATCCTCTTGATATGAGCTTCAGGGGACAGGTCTGGCGTGATATCAACCCCCAGGTATTTCTCTTTCTCTGACTCTTGAAGTATTTCATCTCCCAAATGATACCTTGTATCTGGTCTCCTGCTCCCTACACCTATCTTCATTACATTACATTTGATCTAGTTAAACTCTAACAACCATTTGTTCGACCATTCCTGCAGCTTGTCCAGGTCTTCTTGAAGCCTCAAGCTGTCCTCCTCTGTCTTAATCCGTCTCATAATTTTGGGTCGTCAGTAAACATTGAGAGGAATGAGTCTATACCCTCTGGGAGATCATTTACGTATATCAGAAACAGGATAGGTCCGAGTACAGAGCCCTGTGGGACTCCACTGGTGACTTCACGCCATTCTGAGGTCTCACCCCTCACTGCAACTCTCTGCTTCCTATTGCTTAGGTACTCCCTTATCCACTGGAGCGCCCTACCAGTTACTCCTGCCTGTTTCTCCAGCTTATGCATCAACCTTTTATGGGGTACTGTGTCAAAGGCTTTCCAACAGTCCAAAAAAATGCAGTCCGCCCATCCTTCTCTTTCTTGCTTAATCTTTGTCACCTGATCGTAGAATTTTATTAAGCCAGTAAGGCAAGATTTACCCTCCCTGAACCCATGTTGATGGGTCTCAACGCCTCTCAACCATCAATGAACAGGTGTACAGGTTCCTGAGCCTATTGGGCTCTATCATATCTACACTTGAAACTGTGTTTGGAGTCAGCCTCCACCACATCACTGCCTAATGCATTCCATTTGTCAACCACTCTGACACTAAAAACGTTCTGTCTAATATCTATGTGTATCTAATGTGCGTGTTTGTGTATGCACGTGTGTGTGTGTATGCACGTGTGTGTGCACGCAGGTGTACAAGAGTAGTGGAGTATACGTACCACAGACGCCGCCGCCCATGGCGTGTGTGTGCCAGGCACACTTGGTGATGGTGTCCTCGTGGCCGGTACAGTGGGGCGCCTCGTAGAGGAGGGAGGTGGTGTCGTTGTTGGCCCGGTCCTGCCACTCCCAGTACTTGCCGCCCGTGTACCCCAGCTCCCGGCACGCCACGCTCATGTCCTCCGCTGTCCAACTGAAACACAACATCTACCGTCTCACAGTGTCCTTGTGTGCACCTCTTATTCTTAACCACATATGATCATTAAAGACAATGGTGTTCACGTACCCAACCACAATTACTGGGGAAAACTGGGAGAGGCTAACCATAGGCATCTGGCTCTATCAAACAAAGACGGACCCTTGACTATCCTCGGATCCTGGAGGCCTGGTCGAGGACCGGGCCGCGGGGACACTAAAAACAAAGCCCCGAAATCAACTCAAGATAGATCCTCACTGAATATACACATGTATCTGCGGAAGAGCACTGGCAGACCACCATGGCCATCACGGTCTGGTATGTTACAAGTCAAAAGGCAAGACTGCAAGACACCAAGAAGTCAACATTATCAATACAATACAATACAATTTTATTTAGGTAAGGTACATACATACAATAAATATTTACAAGGATTGTTTAACTTAACTATCATCAAGAAGAGCCTCGCCATGGCGCGCGGCCCGCCACTAATACAATGTATCAAACTACATTATCTTTAACGTGCCAGCTACTTTATTTATACCCAAATTATTCCACAAAGAAATTCTATTGTAACCATCTAATAACATCCAATAATTCCCCATAATCGCTAATGTCACCTGCAAGCTATTTATTAACCATTGTTGACAGTGGTTATATTAATACAGGTTCCCCAACGTTTGCACAAATCACTTAGGATGGTAAAAAAAAAACAGTGCGTTCCCATCGGGCCAAATGATGATGAAGCTGACAAGTGAGGAGCAAACTGCGTTCAACACAGTGTCGGGTGGACGAAGCTATAACACAGTCGAGCATACAACATCGTCACAGTTCCAGCCCTGCTTCTGTCCCTGGTAAGTTCTCTACGGGCTCACTATGCCATAGCCCGTGCTACTTGGAACTTTATGTTCCAAGTAGCTGAATCTAAAACGACAGCATTGTCTCACACTTTAAAAAAAGGTGTCCAGCAGGTGGAGACCCTCGTAAATAGTCAAGCAGTATCTTCCCCCGCGATAGCAGCCACATAGTAAGGACTGACGATTTAAATGTGAGCACAGCACAGTATATCCTTTCACGACCAAATATCACATTCACTCCATAAAAATCTATCACTTACGGGCTATTCATGGCCGTGCCACCTCTTGGGTGGCTTAATCTTCATCAATCAAGCACCGTCAGTGTAGTAACTTGTAACTCTCACAAGACGCTATAAGCCTCGCTACACAGCACAGAGCCAATGCCACCTATGTTCGAGGGCTCCGCTCTCGCCCTCCTTCGAGCTCTGTACCCCCCTCGGCCTCGCTCAACCTCTCGGCAACCATGAGCACATATTGCCAGAGTCCGCAGGCAGCACACGCCGCTCGGAGACCTCCAGACGCAGTTACCGTGCTTCCCTTGCAGGGTGACACGCTAGTGGTGTGGAACAGTCACAGTGCTACCCTTGCAGGGTGACACACTAGTGGTGGGGGACAGTCACAGTGCTACCCTTGCAGGGTGACACACTAGTGGTGGGGGACAGTCACAGTGCTACCCTTGCAGGGTGACACACTAGTGGTGGGGGACAGTCACAGTGCTACCCTTGCAGGGTGACACACTAGTGGTGTGGGACAGTCACAGTGCTACCCTTGCAGGGTGACACACTAGTGGTGTGGGACAGTCACCCTGCTACCCTTGCAGGGTGACACACTAGTGGTGTGGGACAGTCACCGTGCTACCCTTGCAGGGTGACACACTAGTGGTGTGGGACAGTCACCCTGCTACCCTTGCAGGGTGACACACTAGTGGTGTGGGACAGTCACTGTGCTACCCTTGCAGGGTGACACACTAGTGGTGGGGGACAGTCACCGTGCTACCCTTGCAGGGTGACACACTAGTGGTGTGGGACAGTCACCCTGCTACCCTTGCAGGGTGACACACTAGTGGTGTGGGACAGTCACAGTGCTACCCTTGCAGGGTGACACACTAGTGGTGGGGGACAGTCACCCTGCTACCCTTGCAGGGTGACACACTAGTGGTGGGGGACAGTCACTGTGCTACCCTTGCAGGGTGACACACTAGTGGTGTGGGACAGTCACAGTGCTACCCTTGCAGGGTGACACACTAGTGGTGTGGGACAGTCACAGTGCTACCCTTGCAGGGTGACACACTAGTGGTGGGGGACAGTCACCCTGCTACCCTTGCAGGGTGACACACTAGTGGTGGGGGACAGTCACAGTGCTACCCTTGCAGGGTGACACACTAGTGGTGTGGGACAGTCACAGTGCTACCCTTGCAGGGTGACACACTAGTGGTGTGGGACAGTCACAGTGCTACCCTTGCAGGGTGACACACTAGTGGTGTGGGACAGTCACCCTGCTACCCTTGCAGGGTGACACACTAGTGGTGTGGGACAGTCACAGTGCTACCCTTGCAGGGTGACACACTAGTGGTGTGGGACAGTCACAGTGCTACCCTTGCAGGGTGACACACTAGTGGTGTGGGACAGTCACCCTGCTACCCTTGCAGGGTGACACACTAGTGGTGTGGGACAGTCACAGTGCTACCCTTGCAGGGTGACACACTAGTGGTGTGGGACAGTCACAGTGCTACCCTTGCAGGGTGACACACTAAGTGGTGGGGGACAGTCACCCTGCTACCCTTGCAGGGTGACACACTAGTGGTGTGGGACAGTCACCCTGCTACCCTTGCAGGGTGACACACTAGTGGTGGGGGACAGTCACCCTGCTACCCTTGCAGGGGGACACACTAGTGGTGGGGGACAGTCACAGTGCTACCCTTGCAGGGTGACACACTAGTGGTGGGGGACAGTCACCCTGCTACCCTTGCAGGGTGACACACTAGTGGTGGGGGACAGTCACAGTGCTACCCTTGCAGGGTGACACACTAGTGGTGGGGGACAGTCACCCTGCTACCCTTGCAGGGTGACACATTAGTGGTGGGGGACAGTCACCCTGCTTCCCTTGCAGGGTGACACACTAGTGGTGTGGGACAGTCACCCTGCTTCCCTTGCAGGGTGACACACTAGTGGTGTGGGACAGTTACCCTGCTACCCTTGCAGGGTGACACACTAGTGGTGTGGGACAGTCACAGTGCTACCCTTGCAGGGTGACACACTAGTGGTGGGGGACAGTCACCCTGCTACCCTTGCAGGGTGACACATTAGTGGTGGGGGACAGTCACCCTGCTTCCCTTGCAGGGTGACACACTAGTGGTGGGGGACAGTCACCCTGCTTCCCTTGCAGGGTGACACACTAGTGGTGGGGGACAGTCACCCTGCTTCCCTTGCAGGGTGACACACTAGTGGTGTGGGACAGTCACAGTGCTACCCTTGCAGGGTGACACGCTAGTGGTGGGGGACAGTCACAGTGCTACCCTTGCAGGGTGACACACTAGTGGTGGGGGACAGTCACCCTGCTACCCTTGCAGGGTGACACACTAGTGGTGGGGGACAGTCACCCTGCTACCCTTGCAGGGTGACACACTAGTGGTGTGGGACAGTCACCCTGCTACCCTTGCAGGGTGACACACTAGTGGTGTGGGACAGTCACAGTGCTACCCTTGCAGGGAGACACACTAGTGGTGTGGGACAGTCACAGTGCTACCCTTGCAGGGTGACACACTAGTGGTGTGGGACAGTCACAGTGCTACCCTTGCAGGGTGACACACTAGTGGTGGGGGACAGTCACCGTGCTACCCTTGCAGGGTGACACACTAGTGGTGGGGGACAGTCACCCTGCTACCCTTGCAGGGTGACACACTAGTGGTGGGGGACAGTCACCCTGCTACCCTTGCAGGGTGACACACTAGTGGTGGGGGACAGTCACCCTGCTACCCTTGCAGGGTGACACACTAGTGGTGTGGGACAGTCACAGTGCTACCCTTGCAGGGTGACACACTAGTGGTGAGGGACAGTCACAGTGCTACCCTTGCAGGGTGACACGCTAGTGGTGGGGGACAGTCACCCTGCTACCCTTGCAGGGTGACACACTAGTGGTGGGGGACAGTCACCCTGCTACCCTTGCAGGGTGACACACTAGTGGTGGGGGACAGTCACCCTGCTACCCTTGCAGGGTGACACACTAGTGGTGTGGGACAGTCACCCTGCTACCCTTGCAGGGTGACACACTAGTGGTGTGGGACAGTCACAGTGCTACCCTTGCAGGGTGACACACTAGTGGTGGGGGACAGTCACAGTGCTACCCTTGCAGGGTGACACACTAGTGGTGTGGGACAGTCACAGTGCTACCCTTACAGGGTGACACACTAGTGGTGTGGGACAGTCACCACACTGGCCGCTACCTACCTACAATACAATGCAATCGAAGGGGGGCAGATTGATAGATGGATTGATGGGTTCATGGATGGATAAATGGATGAGTAGATGGATGGATGAGTAGATGAATGGATGGATAGATAGATGGATGAATATCTGACATATGGATATGAACATGAATAGACAGATGAGTAGATGGCTGGCTATATGGATAAATGTGTAGATAAATGGATGGATAAATAGCTGAGTAGATGGAGAAATATATATGCATAGATAGATGAATGAATTGATAAATGTTCCGATAGATGTAAGGATTAATGGATGGATAAATGGATGAATAGATGGGGAAAAAGGATAGATCGACAGATAGGAGACAGATGTTTATAGTTGGTCCAACCGTGTGGCCTCCATGCCTAGCCAAAATTGGCAGAGTGACTGGTCTCGGGTATGGGATGAACATAGGCTGGTCGGGGGTCGCCAAAATTGAAGAGAGAAGAGCGTGTCACGTCCACATTCAGACCCCCACGAAGATTTTTGGCCCTAACCGCCAGTCAGAAAAGCCTGAGTCGTCCTCGGCTACACAGTATAACAAGAGCTGTCCACTGCCTTGTGTAATGCCGTCAAGGGTAAACACATTGCACCACTGCACCATGATGTGAGGTTTCTGGCTGTGTGGGGGGGGAGGGGGGAGGTACTCGGCTGGCTATACTCGCCTGACACTGAC